TCTTTCTGTATCCTATTTTTCTTCCTATACCTCCAAATATCACTCCATTATAATCCTATAGAATATATATTTAAATTAATAAATTAATTAGGTAATATCGTATTTACTGTTGGCCTGCTTTACTTACTTTATATCCCATTTCATTGTTTTGGTTGGAGCTTAGAGATATTTACTTCCTTCTTCTTCATTTTCAATGTCTTTTTCAAGTTTTTCATAATTATTTATTATTTTTTGAAATCCAGTTTGCATGATTTAAAATTTTATTTAGTGTAAATGTTGCATTTCAAAATCCAATATATAAATGTCCGAATTTAGAAATTCAGTGTAATATGTATTAGATTTTGAAATTCGGATATAACAATATATTGAATTTCCAACATACCTAATTTTATAAAATTTAGTGTACAAGTATCTCGGATTTGAAAATTCGATTTAAGAATGTCTTGGATTTAGTGTTTTTTTAAACCTAATTTTGAAATATGGTGTTTTTTCAAAATCTGGTTTTGAAATTTGGGATGTTTTGTTTCACATATCTCATCTCCTACTATGAATTTCTAAATTTGTTTCAGTTATCAACCAAAATTAACCATCTAAACCCTTAGATTTCAAATTCCTTCATCCCAAATTATTTCCAAATTAATAATCAATACAGAAGTAAAAAAAAATGAAATTGGCCTCTTTAGGATATGTTGTGCGAAGATGAAGGCTCGTGAAGTTGATACAAAAAGGAAGGATTTTATGGAAATTCACAAATTCGAAGGGTTTTTTTAGGGAGAGAGTGTAAAGGATGAGTGCAACATTAAATTAAATATAAGGGTAGGGGTGTTTTTGAGTGAATAAATAAAGAGAGAGAGGATAATTATGTTTTTACCCGATCAAAGTCAAAGTCAAAACAGGTAATTATTGGGATTTAAAAAATTTGAGAGGTGAAAAAAGAAAAATATGGGGTGCATTTGAAGAAAGCCCTTAAACTGAGTGAAATGTTAAGGAATAGCACCCTATATCAACTTTTGTTAATAATTCACATATCAACTACATGTTTCAACAAAATATTCCTCACATAAAGAAATATATAAATTTAGGATGCTTTAATAGAAAAACAAATCTAAACCCTAAATTTAAACTTAAAATTTAATTAACCCATTTATTTATTATAAATTTTAATTATAAAAAAAATACTTATTAAAATGAATCAAGTACTAGAAGAAGAAAAAAAAAAGACAAGGAAAAGAGGGCATCTGGTAGCTAAATAAAGGGTATAAACTATAAGATATTAATTCACTTTCAAATCTCAAGAAATTTTAATATCAAATTTAAAACTAAATGGTATTTGTATTCGATTTTTTTAAAAAATAAATTAGCTAAAACACTCTCAAAAATATATTACGAGTTTGGTAGAGTAGAATAAAAATGATAAAGTGGAAGAGAATTAATATTATGTATTTAAGAAAAAAAGAGAAAATAACAATTAAAAAAAAGTAGCAGAACTTATTACACCATTTCTCTTTAGTTTTCAGTTTTAATAACATCAATAATTAATATACATACATGGTATATATATTGAACATCAATATTTTAATAGCATCAAAATTTGATGTAACTACATTCTACTGTCATAATCTTTCTTTTGATAACTCCTGTAACCAAAATGTCAACGAGACATATATGCAAATAAAGCATTATTGTCGTGCTTTTAGAACAATTATTCATGGAATAGTATAACTAGCAGCATCACATAGAATAATGTTATAGTGATTGTTTTATTCTTAAAAAAAACATTTCAATAAACTAGGAAATATATAAATATTTTTTCTCTTATACAACAATAATTTCACATTTTAGAGTTAAGATGAATGACAATATAAATATATTTATTTTTCCAATTTTATAAAACCTATAATAAATTCAATTTGTCCGTATTTAATACATATTCATATTCGATATTTATATATAATCTATAAATAGTAATAATTTTTATAATAAATATAATTTATAATTTTTATTTTAACAACATTTAAAACGTATGATTTTAATTTGTATTCACATAATAAAAATTATATATTTATCATATTTATAAGTATTTTATATATTTTTAATATAAATATATTAAATGTTGAATTTTATTATTTTAAAATAAGTGTATTAATGTATTAAATTCATGTGGAATCTGATACACATCTAGTATTTGTAGATTCATAATCTAAAACATATTTAAACAAAAATTTAAATTTTGAAAATAAATAAAACCTCATATAATAAATATATATAGACATTCTCCTTAGTGTGTAAGAAATAAAAAAGCATTTTTATATTCGTTTTGTTTTGTTTTGTTTTGGTGAGAAAGAGGAGACATGACATAATGCATAGATTCAATTCAATCTGTATCTGTCGTTATGGAACAAAATCGGTCTCATGAGTACGAAGAATATTATAGAACAGAATTATGCAACATTTCTCTTTGATTCCCTTATGACGTAAAATTAAGATCATTTTATTCCAAAAGGAAAATGGTAAACAATTTTCATCCTTATCACTTTATTAGACTTTCCATAGAATCTGATCCCATTTTTTTAATTTCCATAAACTTTCTAAACATTCATTTTACTCCTTAATAATATAACTTCAAAAATTTTATTTAGTCTTTAAATTTGTGAATAATATTTTTTTTCTATAGGTTTCGTGGCACTAATATGAATTCTCTTATATATTTGGAGAATAATAGTATTATTTTTCATGGCTATTTTTAAAGGAATTCGAGAGATTCAATAATAACGACCCAAGTTAAACTCAAGGAATTGATACTACAATTTCAAAAGTTTTAATATAATAAGTTTATAAATATTTTTTATATATCATTTTTAAATCTTTTTTCTATTTTAAATCTTTTATAAAATTGATTCTTATGAATTTCATTAATTGTGAAACCAAATTAGGCATTTCCATTATGTTTTTTGTCCAGATTAGGGATATTATAAGTAGGGGATAATATGTGCATGTTTATGTAAAGAAAAAGTTAGCCAAAAAGTGTAAATAAAGTAGAGAAAAGGGACCTGAAAAATAATTAAAGTGAAAAGGTGGTGTTTGTATGGAGGCAGACACACACACGTGATGGTGCACTTGCTTCTATGCCGTTGCTTCTCCACCACTTCTTTTGTTACTTTTCATGAAAGATAAAACCCTTCAACATGGGTAAATGATAAATCCTATGGAGACTATTTAAATTATCAATCAAAGATGTATCACATTTTAGGTTTCATTTAGTCTTTTAATACACATTTAAATAGCAATTTAGTTCTTAAATGAATGGTTTTGCATTATTACCAAATTAATGTAAAAATATTTTAGATTTAAATATTATTTAAATATATTTTTCTTCATTTATGTGTTTTATTTAAATTTATATTTTATTGAATTTTTTATATTTATCTTTAAAATATATTAATGTTTATATTTTGAAATATATTAAAATTTATAATATGGCAAAGTACAAAAAATTCAATATCTAAGTGGACCAGTTATATAAAATGGGTCATAAACAAAATTATTACATTATTAAAAAGAATATCTATAACAACTATTTGAATATACATACTTGTTAATTATGTATTTGATTTAAAATACTTTATGGTTCAATAGTATAAAAATATATCAATAATGAATTATTTTTTCTTATTAAACATTGATAATGACTTTTCCATTATTAAGAAAAAGATTTTATATATTTGCTTTATCAAACTAGTTTTCATTGTCGGTTAAGTAAATTAGTATTCTCTTAAATAAATTAATTTTTCTTAAATAAAATTATTTCATATACTTCAAGTTTTAATCAAATTGTATTTGGCACCCTTGCCCTCTTTTTCGACTGTAATAATTATCCCACCTTTTTATTTTTCCAATTAATAAAACTCACCCTCTATTTCATCTCAAGTTTCTCAAATAATGTCTCCATGTAATATTTAATGTATTCAAAAGATAGTGATGTTATTTTATAATACTATTAATATTAATAAAATTGAATATATCATTAATAATATATACACAAATTTAAATAGGTTATGTAAATACGTGTTATTGAAACTTGATAGAATCATATAAAGAATAATAAAAATTAATTTAAATGAATTTAATTTACTTCTATTTCCATTTGTATTTGTTTTAGGCTAATATAAATAATAAAGAGTGTACTTTCTGATTTATTAAAAATAAGTTCACCTTGGTTGACAATTACTGAAAAGGATAGAAAAACAATTGCAAAAAGAAAATAAATACAAAACACTAAAAAAAAATCAATTCTAAAAAATGGACAAGTAGAAAAACTGGGCGCCTCATACGTAAACTAGTATGAAAATCACTAGAATTATTGTCATGTGATAAAGACAACATAAAAAGTTGAATATTATAGAAAAATTTAGATTTTTCTATGAAAATTTTCCCAACATATTCTGTTTTGTAAATTATTTCATAGAAAAGAAATTATATAGTATTAAATTATTACAAAAGTGTATACTCTTGCTTTTATATTCTAGTTCTAGTTCTAAACAGAAGATATGACATTGGTTCACAGATTTGACTTGAAAAGTGCACAATAGATGAAAAGGTAAACAAAGAAGTTTAGTTATGTAAACATTAAACATTAGATCCCTGAACATAACTTACACCACATACATGGAATCCATAACATCTCAATAATTGCACCAACTTCCAGCTTTATCAGACATTGCATATATTTTCTCAATGGAAGCAATGGTGGTGAACTCAGACTTAAGGGGATACCATTATTTACCTTTCACAGAAAGGGTTCACAAAAGTTAGTAGATAGTTTGAACTTTGAACCTTTACGGTTAAGGTCCACTGAAGTCAAGAGGGACTCATTGTTCACTTTGGCCATGGAACCTGTGGCCTTCAAGATCTGAAAGGCATAAGGTTTTAGGGAAACTGAACCTATGAATGACCTTAGTAAATGTTACTAAAGGAAACCAATACAGGCTTTAATCTGTCACTTTTTGAATATGAAATGCTACAGACGTGGCTTAGGACCCTTCCTTGTAGGGATATCAAGGGCATCATAATGACCAAACCCGTGGTAGAGAACTCTAATTGGGTTTTCTTTGCCGTATTCTTGGCCATACTCGGCAATTGATATCAAGCCACCAGCCTCCTTATCATACATGTATACAGTGATAGGCATCCTGGAAAATGGCCCTCCTATATTAACATTAACTGTGTATAGTGAATGACTGCATATGAATTCACTTGCCCAAAAGGAAGAGAGACTTACTGCAAAACATGTGATGCAATGAACAATTCTGGTTCACCTCCCCACACGTGAGGCTTCCTTATGTGTGAAATATATGTATCAAAATCACCTTCAATAAACCTGAAGATTTCATGGCAGAACTATGTTTATTAGTAAATAATCAATCATCGATTTCACCATTATTCACAAAGTTTAATACATAGAGTTTGGTTCAAGTTTAATACATTCCTCCAAGTGTGGTATAAGATATACTAGTAGAAGAACAAAATAAAAAAATAAACTAAATTGATGTTTGAGATCAACTTAAAATGACAATTTTCTCCTGCCGATTTTAGGATGTCCACTATAAGTTAGAATATAGGTAAACTACTCCTTAGGCTAGCTTTTGGATTTGAGTTATGTTTTGTTCATTTCAATCAAGACCAATCAATTTTATGTTGTACCAACAAATATCCAGTCCTACAAATTTTAGACTCCAAATGTCCATCATGGATGTGAGGAGTGTTAACTGCTCAGATGTCCCACGTTGAGTCGAGATATATGGTCATGCTATTTTTCATAACGGTTCAGAAGTTATTTCCACCAGAGCTAACCGTTAGAGCTGAGTTAGGCTCGGTTCATTTCTAGTAGTTTTAATAAAAATAAAAAGCAAGGAGAGAATTTGTTTATACCAAAGCATATTTTGAGGGCAGAACATGAAGATTGAAAATAAATTTAATGTTTTATTAACAGTAGAAACAGTTATTGTGATGTCTCAAACATTCTATTGTATTTTTAGCTGTTTACATGTTATGAGGGGAAAACAGATTGAAAGAACTGTATTGATAAAATTGTCGATCAAACAATGGAATCATCAGAATGCTACAGGTATCCAATACGAGAACTCACCATTCAGTTTCTTCCCTTCTTTTGACAAACTCATCAGCAACCTGAAAAATGAAAGACAAAAATCAAGAGCATGAGCTGAGGTAAAGTAGTGACCAGATAACTTCAACCGCTTTATTAGGAAGTTACTATAGGAATAATTTGAAATCGTGATCCATCAGCAATTGATATAATCTCGGTAATCCCTTTAAATTGTTGGCAATACTGTGCCTGTGTGTTTTTCCAATTAGTTTAGTTTCAAGGAAGTCAGGAGGAAGGTGATGTTTTAAACTTGTTACAATGATGCACAGAGATACATAAAACATACTCTGGCTCGTAAATCATCCGCCAGCTCCCTTTGGATGCTTTCACTCGGAGGAGGCTTTCCAGACCTCAAACAGGCCCCTCGAGCAACAGAGCGGAATAAACATCTTCCATCCCCTGGTATTCCTGCTCAAAACCATAAGCTTAGTAAATTGCAGTTATTACATACAAATGCATAGGTTCTTATCTACATCTATTTGCTCAATATTTATGCATATGAATAGACTTGTATGTGTAATGTATCTTCTGGAGTTTTAACAGAAAGTATATCTCACCAATTACAGAATAGTCACTATAAACTTTCTTCCCATGTGAGAATTTAACATTTGACTCATAGTTGTTGCAGTCATCTTTCCTATTTTCATTTTCAGAATGTGATTCGGCATGAGCAGGCTCACTACTAGAACTACATACAAGTAACCCAAAAATCAAGCCAACTGAAGCACATCCCCGCAGCCAACTTACTGGACCAAAATTACACTTAACTTTGTGCAGCAATTTTTGTTTGGGTAACAAAAGCCTCATATTCATACTTTGGCATGCCAGTGAAATTTCATGATACCTCTTCCGAGGTACTACAGAACTAAAGAATCGAGTATTTCCCCTTTGCTTGGAGCAGCATGATCGAAGGAAGCCTCCTCTAATTGTTTGGCCCATAACCGTTGAACAAGACAATTTTGTGCAAACAGAAAAATCATGATTTATCTCTGACTCCCCAGGAAATGAACTAGAAGGAAGTGAAGAGGATATTCCGCGGGACCAAAGTCCATGAATGTTACTGCTCATCAGCAGTGGAGAACGACCTTTCAGGACAACAGCATTTATTGAAGATTGACTAGTAGAAAAGCAAACACTCATGTTTACATTGCCTGAATAAAAGTCAAACATATTCATCAGAAACTCTTCAAGGTAACATTACTATTTTTCATCAGAATTAATTTTTTTAATCTGGCCAGAGAACGTTACTACTATGAATATATGAATTAGCATTAATATTCCCATAACCCAATATTATATGCTAGCTCCTACCTTAATTCTCAAGACAATCCGTTCATAAAATCCATGTCACTAGAAAATTATTATAAAATTGCATAAATATAATTTTTCGCTTAGTCCATGGCCAAGATTTCACAGTGTCGGAAGCTGACAACCAAAGCATAAATATTATTTTAAATGTACACGTTTATTTTTAGATATAGGTTAGTAACTTGTTGATCTGAAGTTCATGAAAATGCCAGATCAATGTATAAAAAGCTAACTGAACAACAGGATTAGTCCAAATCACACTCAATAAGATAACTCACATTTCAAAAGATAGATTGATATGAACAAAGACCATATTTTTTTCGTTTTTTAGCCATTGTCCATTTATGTACTCAAAGACTCCTTATAGAGGCACTTCTATTTATTCTTTCCATTTGATTTCCAGTAATTTCTGGTGTTAAAAGTTCAATTTCAATATCATTACACATCAACTATTCTCTTTGACACAATCGTAGGATTACTTACTTTCTATCAAGTGTTTGGGTGGCTGCCATGGACCCATGGCACTGGCAAGCAAGAGATTTCATAAAAATAAGGGCCAATCTGAACATCTGGAAGGCTCAAATGTTTAAAGTGTATAATGTTTCTCACACCACGAACACAGGGCAATAACCAGCCTAACTCCCAGGATTTAATTTCTAAATTTAAAAGAAAAAAATGTACGACAGATTAGAAGTTAGTTTCACCATTTTCATTCCTTACCATTCACGTCAATCCATATCATGGCACAATACACCATTTATATACAATTTTAAGTATCTAGTATTCTGTGAAAAGAAAAACTAAGGATGCATCTGGGTAAACTGTTTAACCAAGTACTTATTCAATGAGGTGTTATTACACAAAAGCTTTTGTCATAAATTAGAATGTAACGCTTATCAGGATAAGCTAAAAGTATCTTACTTTGATGTGCTTCTCCTTAAAGCTTTAAAATATGGAGAGAAGCTTACTGAAATAAGGTAGAAAGAAGTTATAGGAGTCATAAGATATTTTCTAGGATCCATAGAAACTCTTCCAAACACCTTCTAAATTAGAACTAAATGAAAACAGGAATCAACCATGTTATTCCCATCTTTGAATGCATCTTAGACTAGCCATTTTCCCATCCTTTAGACTATGAAACACAATTAAGTTAAGAATCTGTTGAAACCCTACATTCCTTCTTTTCTCCAATTTTCCAGCTGAGATTCTATTATCTTCAGAAATCTCTAATTGGACATACTTAAATGCTTCCTTAAAAGGGGTCCATTTAACAATTAGATATAACCTTCTAAGCTAAACATGAAATCAATTTATAGTCTCTTTTTACCAACACCATTCCAGGCGAAAAGACTTCAATACTTCATTCTGAGACAAAGTAAAGGTACATCTTTATATGAAGAGAAGTTATTATCATTCAAGCTTATTCGAAGTTGGTAAACAAACGCCTGAAAATTTGAAAAGTTATATGTGTAGGTTGCTTTAGGATCCAGCTTGCTGTGTACTAATGACAAAATCCACTAAATTTATCATTTGGCTTTTCAGATATTCACATTAGAATCACATGAACTTCCCTATTTATTCTAATCAAACTCGAACCCCTTTCACTTCTTTTCTTGATTGAACCCATATCAGTTAGTATCATTAACAACCCAAAATACTAAAATGACACCAATTAAAAAATATCCACAGGTTAAAACATGTCACGATTTAACATGAGTTTTTTCATAGCATGGGTCTATCAACAGGAATTAAGTATGTATAATACAATATTTAATGTAAAATTCAAATTCCCTATAACTTTTATTAATGCAATTTATGTATAACAGATACAACATAAAGAGGAAAAGGGAATATATATATATATAACAATGGAGGAGAAGACAAGGGGTGAGGAAAAGCAAACCTGTTGAAGACAATGCAATGAAGAGTGAGTAAATGGGTTTTGGGACCCTAAAGAGTGTTGTGAATGAGAAAAGCTGGAATCTGGAATTGAAGAAAAGAATAATAACAATAGTTGGAAGATGAGAGGCTGAAGCAAGATTTTCAAATGATGATTCAGGAAGTTCAGTATTGTTCAGCTCCTCTCTGCAAGCTCTAGTTCCTTCTGGATTGGGTAATACGGGCTAGGCCCAATCCTATGGGTCTGATTGACTCATGCTTCTTGCACCCCAAAATTTCTTCATGCACACCAATTTTGAAAATGACCATTTCATCTTTCCTAGAAGTAACTTTGGGATAACGTGTTTTGGAAACTTTTTGGAAACAAATTTTCTGAAATTTCTGAAATATATAATTTTTGGAACAGAATTTTTAGAATACGATTTTCGAAATAATTTTTCAGAATAAAATTTCTGAAATACATGAAATACTTTCTGAAACAAATTTTTTGAAACATACTTAAAACAAAAGCCACTAAGTATAAAAATATAAAAATGAAAAAATATTTTCTAATTATTAAGAAATGTTTCATGAAAAATACGAGCACATCCAAATGTATAATTTGACGAAATGTAATGTAAAATTCAGAAGAGAAAAGAAAAAACAGTATCTGACGATGTGTCACTAACATCGTAGCAGTTGAGTACGAAATAATCGATGTGGGGTTTTTCTACCACGATGACATTGTTTTTTTCTTTTTTCTAGAAATCAAGGTTCCAATTTTCATATGCAGTTGTGTGAAAAGCATGCAACTTTACCCTTCCTTTTTCCACAGGCGTGGATGCGAACAAAGATTCTTTCATTCATGCGCTATTTCCCCAACTCTCCCACAATCCCACTTTTGAATTTTGGATCGCTTCCAACGGTCACTCGCTACCCTTTCCCTTCACAAACCCTACTTTCCCCCTTCTCTGTAAATGGGTTGGAATCTCATCTTCTGGCTCCTCATTTGTTTCCCTGCCAACATTGCGCTTCTCGCTTCCACTTTCTACCAGGTCTTCAATTTTCCATTTGCTTAATTTCTTTTCGTTAAAACTGTTTTTGAATTGGGGTTATTGTTGTTGGGCTTGAAGGTTTTGATTCTGTCGGATTTGGAGTCTGATTACGTCAACCCTTTCGACGCTTCGTCTCGGATTAACTACTTCGTTCTTCCGGAGTTCATTGGGCAGGGAGCATTGTGTGCTCTGTGCCTCTTCACTGGCCATTGGTTCATGTTTTTGCTCACAGTTCCTGTTACTTGTTACCATGCCAGACTGTAAGTTAACTTTTTCATGTTTTTTTGCCAGATGAGAGTGAACTCTGTGTTGTTGTTATGGTGGGGTTTTTAGGTGTGATGTTTTTGCTGCTGATACTGTGTCTGTGAGTCCTTTTGATAATGTTATTATGGCTGAAAAAAATATCCTCTTCTGTAAGCTAAAATCATCTTGTTACATCATCTTTTCCAGAATTTTGTAAAAGATTTTATTTTTGTTTAAGTTAGAATGCATAAGTTGATTTTAACTCATTGTTGAGCTCAATTTATTTTACCTTTTTTTATTTTCCTTTTTTGGGTGCGTTTAGAAAAAGATTGAGGCCCAAGAGTTTTACTTTCAAAGGATTTATGTGAACTCAAAACCAAACACTTTCTGGGGAAGTTGTGTTTATTCAAGAAGTTAGATGAGACTTTTTTATAAAAGTCAGAATGCGTAAGTTGATTTTAACTCATGGTTGAGCTCAATTTACTTTTGCGTTTTTCCTACATATACATAGATGTCTGCGCAGGTTTACTTTTGATTGGGGAATCAAGGGACAGAAGTACATCTATGATGTGATTATAGTTGTGCATTTATACAATCTTTTGTGTAAATGGATTATTGCTTTCTTTCTTACTGTTTGAATCTGAAGTTCTAATTGAAACTGCTACTCTGATACACCTCACCCGCTATGTTATGACAGCTTTTAAATATTTCACTGTGAGAAAGTAGATGTTGTTCTTTAAACTCTATGTTTTGGCGACGACAATGTTTATTCTTTAGTTGTTTGGCTATTATAATTTACTAGTTTACATCTGAATTTGCAAAATATTCTTTTGAAATATTCTTCATACCTTTTTTGTCAATCTGAATATGTTATTAATCCAGGGTTTTTTGTAAACACAAGAGAATAAATAAATGCTAATAAAGGCTCACAAAGTTAAATGCTAATAAAGGCTCACAAAGTTAATCCTTAGTCCTGTTCTACAGTTGCAGAAAAGTCTTCTGTGGTCTCACATTTTGCTTTTTCACCCCAGGTGTGGCCCATCATTCATTTCTTGAATTACTAAATATAGGCAATATGTACTCTATTATTTTCCCTCTTTGGATACTTCCACAATATTTCTCTCCGAATCTTATTATATGCCTCTTCTAAATTGACCACGTGTTTATGTCTCCTTGGCTACTCCAATATCTCTGCATCAATGTTTCTATTGAGTATATTGAAACAAAGGCTGACCCCCTTGGCATAGTACAAAATTGATTTTTGGTAATATGATGTCTTGTCTTTGTATAATCTCGGGAGTGCAATCCTCCAGTAATTTATGGCTTTGCATGCCACCCTTTTAATATAGACGGGGGTTTAAGTTCTTCTTCAATCATTAGACATGGTCTCAGGCCGCAGAAGTCAGAATTGAGTTTAACAACTTTGTGAATCATCGTAGTTTTTTTTCTCCTAGGCACTTCCGTGTCTCAGTGGATATATTGTCTAGTCCCAATAAAATAATTTCTTTTATTTCCTTACATAATTATAGTCATCCACTTTCTTAGGAAGTGAATTTTAGGTCTAACTCAACCACAGAAAACTGGTGTGCAAGGCGTGATTTGCATCCATTTATATATTATAATTTGACGATATTTCTAGTCAATGTGAGATTTTCAACACACTCTCTTTTGCATAGGACTCGACATTTTGACTATGAAACTAGGTATTTGTAAGTGGTTAGATAGCAATCCACCTTACATTTCCAAGTTCTATGGTGCAAGTTATGATTTTTTTTCTTCCTCGCAAGTGTTTTGCCTACATAGTACAATTTAGTTTGTTAACTATAATTAGTTAACTATGATTCAGCTCTGATAGGGGTTGGAAAGTGTATGAGAGGACAAGAAAGGCACCGAACGGTTAAAGGCAGGGGAAGTGAGCCGAACAGTTAAAGGCAGGAGGAAGTGAGCTAGAAACCGAACAATTAAATGCAGGAGGGAAGTGAGCTAGAAGCCAAACGGTATTAGCAATAGAACTGTTGTGTATCGGTTCAAGAAGGGATTCTTTTGTATAGGGAAGCGGGAAAGAGCTGCTATAAATAGAGCTCCTGTGATTCTGTTTGGGTAGTTAGAATTCCTTGTGTAAAGTCAGGACTTTGAGCCTGAGGAGGGGGATTAGGCTCTCGTAGAACAATATACTTGTACATTGATTTTTTGGTTAATACAGAAACTATATTCTTTCTGTCCAGTTTCTTGCGGGTGAGTGTTTGGGAGTGAGATTTAGAGGTTTCATTTTCCAGAAACCTAACAAATTCCTTGACCAATCAATGTGTAGATGATATTGTTTTAAATTAAGTACATTTAAAATGAAGGAAAAGAATTAATATTTTATGGATCTTTCTCCCTAAAGCTTAATTTGACTATCCATCGACCACTGAGACTGAAATTTTCCAATCTATAAATAAATAATGATTGCCAATTTCAAGATTTGAGCACTATTCAAATATCTGTAGCACATGAACCAGTAATCCACTGCACAAGATGAAACCTGATTTGTTGGAGGAGAATATTCTGTTCTATTTGTTTTAGCTATAGATGCAATAAAAGTATTTCTTTCTGAAGCAGTGTTAGGTGCTGAAACTGTGTTGCTGTAAAAAGATTACTGGATTAGCAGATAGGCTGACACACAAATTTTACTAGTATCAGCTTCAGTCACCTGAGCAGATTTTTTTTTGTCTCTTTATCAGGTGTCTGAAAATATTTAATGCAATTTTATAATTTTATTGAATGTTAATTGGTGTACTCATTCCATCAATATAAGTAGAATTCTCAGTGTGGCGGCATGCTTTTCCTTTTCTAAGTTATAGGAAGTTAGCAAAAGAAAAGAAAGGGAAGATATTGGCAACATTTTTTAGAATGCGTCTTCCTTCAGCTTTATTTAAACAAGGTCCTCTTGGCACCAAGACTAAAACAAAAGCATAGTCACACCATCCATCTTTATATAAGCTTGTTATAACTCATCAGACAGGTGAGTTTCTTGCTCCTCAAAGAACCTTTCAGCTCTAGTGATCCACAAAGCAGGTTCCCCTATAAAATCTGGCAGCTCATCCTTCATGATCCACTTGTCCTGCATCCCTGGTAACACAGCTCTCTCATGGACAAGATAAGACTCGGATTCAGTAGAAACATAACAATATCATTGATTGAAAAAACAAAAACTATTGCAAATTGCAGAAGAGCCCCTGTAATCCCAGAGCAACGATCCTCAGCGAAGACATGTTCCTAATCTAAGGTTATCTCTAACAAAAGCTACAGAATTATTTTCCCCCTTGTCATGCCCTCTCCCTATAAATGCCTTGCCTCTCTAACTAAACTGGCCACATAAACTATTTTAACTAATTCTGTGTTGAGCCCAGTTGTTGGGCTTTAGGCCAAAACCCAGAATACTAGCATTGCCTTACAAGTGATATAAAACCATTGTAAAACTTTTTTTAAGTAATTGTATATTTTAGTAATTTATTTTCAAAATTCTTTCACCAAAAAGATTGACAAAGAAAGACATGAATACACAGAATACTGGATTCCTATTGTAGGCTGGCAATTAACATGAAACTATTCTTTAATCTTCTCGTTATACCATTTGGATCCTGAGGTTTCATTGAAACTGCATTCGATCTGATCTTTTTACTCCTATTATTAAGTGCCTTCGTGATTTAGATGGAATTTTTTAAATTCCGTTTGTCTTTGTGAGGTTTACATTTATTTTTTTGGAATTGTAATTTTCTAGTTTATGTTCATAAGCTAATAATTTGTAAACTTTTCCAATTGTTGCTATTTATGTTAACCTTGTTCACTGGTTTTCTTGAGGGAAATGAATGTGTTATGTCATGATCCATGCAACATGATAGTTAGTTTCTTGTTTAAAAATTTTTCAATTTGTGTCTAAATTAGTGTTAAATTATTTTTTGCGGGTTCATAAGCATATTGAGTAGGAAATGTCAACAACGAAATTTTTAGTATAACGAATGAATTTATGTTTGTTCTTCCATTTAGGACATATTGTTTAAACTTGTTTTATGTTCTTTTTTGTCATGATTATTCCCTTTCTGACTCAGGTATGTGAAAAGAGAGCATCTGATTGATGTTACTGAGGTATTTAGGGTAGTTAATGCTGAGAAGAAATTTCGGATAGTCAAACTTGCTTTATACTTAACGGTTCTCATTGTTACTATCTTCAGGTTTGTCACACACCCTTACAATAGAACATGCTTATCTGCTCTGCTTTTTCTTGTACGGTCTAACTGCTCAACATTTGTACCTACTTTGTATTTTATTTCAGGCTTACATTAATCGCAGTCTACTATTTAGGCATTGAAGACGATGATGACCTAGGACACCTTTGGTAAGTTGTACCCTAATTTTTGGTTGTTGGGGGGAACTTGTGACTTTATCTGTACCATTACATTAGGTTTACTCTTAGAATTCAGGTGTTCACAGAAATAGAAATGTTAGCCATTAACTTCAGTGAAACATTGCAAACTCATGTATCCACATTGTTTGATACAACTCTTTCACTTCAAATGTCTTCTCCTACAAATTTTGAGGTTACGTGGATGGTACACTCAAGAGTCATATGGTATTGCATGTTATAAGAGATACATTTAATCTCCTTCTCTCAAATACTCTCATTTACTCACAAATTCTTTAAAATGAATAAACATGTCATTTTCAGTCACTCACTCACAAATAATAAATTCATTTAAAGAAATAAACACTTAATTTTTCCTCTATTTGCTATTCGATTATTCTCTCTCCTTCATCTTTCTTCTCTGGAAGACGAAAGTATCAATATTTATATTTTTAAATCACTAAATACCCTTTTATATCAATATTAGATATAGTTAATATTTATTGTAACTTATTTTTATTCATTACATATTTTTTAATTATCAAAACATTTAAAATTGGTTAATATTTATTTCTGTTAACTTTAACAGTGAAGTCTTAATTTTTTAAAAAAGTTTACATTTAATTTATTTACATCTAGGATAAATCAAACTATCCCATGTAAAACAAATCATTTATTTGATTTATCCCAAAAAAAAAAGAAAAATGCAAAACATTTTAATGAAAATAATTCAAATTTCTCAAAATTTATAATTTCTCTTTCGAAAGAACCTGACACCAACACCTACTTAATACTTTAACATATTTTTTTTTACTTTTTTTCACCCTCTCTTCAGATACAAACAAATGGAATCTTGTAAAGAAAAAATATGATGAATTAAATAATGTTAAGAAATTATTAGTTTGAGCGATAATGAACTCCATCTTTGGTAAAAATCTTACATTTAATAAAAATATAATAAAAGATAATTATATAACGGAAATAAATTTCAAATTGTAAAATAATGTTATAAAATTAAATTAAACTTAAATATAATTTCATAAAATAATATTAATTTTTAAAAGAAACAGTGATCCATGGAAATCGGCCCACATTATCTTTCTCATATCTGACCATACCCGACAAACTGTACTCAACTTGAGAACAACTGTATGCATTTCTTCCAACTCATAATTGATTATTGGGCCCACTCAATGCCAACACGTGGGCCTTTTATCCCTTCGCGTGTGTTGACCCCGTGTTTGGTTCGTGACATGCCGGGTCCTTTTCGGGTCCACAATTAGGTGTCCCTAATGGGCCCATCGGGCCTTTGCAAGCTGCCACCAGTCATTTTCACTTGTATTTTCAATTCAACAAAAGAGTGGGGTCAGGACAAAATATGTTTTAATCTTTTTACTCTTTCTAAAAAGAAAAAACATTTTTTTTTATCTTTTTTATTTTGAATTGCATTAATTTTTACACTTGAAGTACCACATAAGCCACCTTTCCCTTTATAAAAAAAATGTCTAAAATACTTAAAGATCAAAAGTATATTTTTAAACTTAAAAATACCAAAAATAAATACTCTTTTGGAGGAACTAAGATTGAGTTTTTCATATTTTAGAGGGATAAAAAATTTATTTTATTCCCTTTTTTAATAAAAAAAAACCCACATGTACATGTTTAAAAACTTAACAAGATTATCACGGTACTCATGAATTTAAATTTTAAGACACTCAGATTAAATGCTTTTAGTTTTATCAAGATTAAACTTTTTAAATTAATTTTTTATCAAGTAAAATAATTAATTAAATTAGAGCGTTTAAGGTACTCTAACCCTTTCAAAAAAGAATTTACAAGGTATTTCCACAAAAGGTCTATAAATTGAATTAAAATTTGTTTCTTACAAATTTAAAATTGGTCTCTGTATTCTTTATAATTTGAAAAGAACTTGGTTAGTCATTTTATCTAAACATGTCATACCTAGACACTGTTAAAACGAATACATGAAAAAAAAAACAGTTAAGTATTTATAACAAGAATAAAAAATCGTAGAAAATCGTCATATAAAAAATAATTTTATTTAAATTATAAAGACTATAAAATCAAAATTATATCCGAGAGAAAAAACAAATACAAACTTATCTCAAGTTTCAAGATATACAATAACCTTTCATATTTATAATAATAATAATAGAATAATAAAAATAATTTATTCCACAACTACATTTTTTAGATTTATTTAGTCAATAAAATAAATTAATAGGAAAAGATTGATTAGTTTGATTGAAGTTAAATTCAGCCTAAATCTCCAATATTTGGGCCAAAATTGTATGGGCTTAGCTTAGCTTAGACCGTTAACTTTATCATATTATTTCATTATTTAGTTACAAATACATAAATATACATATACTTATTCATTTATATCATTGTTATCAATTTATTAGATCTGATATTTCATTATTGAGTCTCTAAATGCATTGCAATAAACATTAATGAAGAGTTATGTATATTCTTATATGATATTTCATAAAAAATAACATTAATTTTATTTTAACACTCTAAGGATGAATTATACCATAAACATTAGTGTTGATGGATATATTTCTTAGTAGTGAGAAAAAAATAGAGGAAATATTTTACCTAGATACACACACGAAATTTCATATTACATGCCTACAAAATTAAATTTGATCTAAATATTGTTTTAGTTATTGGGGCTGAGTCACCAAACTCCTTCACAATTTGTCTTATTGTCGTCCGGTCACGTTCCAAGCTCCGTTCTCTCGCTCCTCCGGAACCTGTCAAAGATCTTCCGATGCCAAAGTCAGTACTCAAACCGTTCGGCAATTCAATAGAGCAGTAATAAATGTGCAGTGAATGCAACCTATCTACCACTTACCTCTGACCTGTATTTATAGTTTTCGTGGGCTTGGGATTAGTGAAAAGTTAATCACGACCCAATTCTAGCCCAATGGCTCTAATCACTATTTACCTTAATCGTATTCTTGATGACCCAATTCACCTATCGGCCGATCTTGTGCAACCGTCCGATACATAGTTGTTACTCACCCGAGTGGAAGGATGAATGGTCGAGTATAATAGCGCGCAGTGAGTGTTTATGCAAGCTGTCCGGCAATGCTATCAGAGGAGCAAAAAAGATTGAAGACACGCCGATGGTTGGGTCGATATCGGCGCCGCTCTCTGAACCGTCCGGTTCACATGGTACATTTCTAAATTTCTAATACTCCACAAATTAAAATAATTTACAAGATCAAAAACATGATTTGACACATAAAATTAATCGAAAGTATATATTTTTAGTATGTGAATACTTACATCTTAACATAACAACATATTAACTTTTACTTCAATCAAATAACTGTTGGTTTAAAAAGAATGAAATCATGGTCCAAGCATAAACCTAAATGATTATAGCTTTATTAAATCCACAATTTTAAAGAAAAATCAAACACATTATAGACATTCTTTAAATAAAAGGGTTAATTTGTACAAGAATTGAATTAAACTTAAAAACCCAATGTCTTTTATTTTTTTCTCCAATATTTTACATAAGATGTTATTTTTTAATATTTGTTAGAGATATCCTATTACAACACTCGTTTTAAAGTGAGATTATTATTTGATGTAACTTGAATAAAATATTAGTACAATTGTACTATAGGAATACCCGGATGATGTCCTTCATAATGGAGGACATTATAAGGAATATACCTCACAACAAAAAAATCACATTAAGATAATGCAAATGATGTTTAATCAAGGATTAGAATATTTTAAACTTATATAGACTGTATCAGACCTAAACAATTTATGTCTATCTAGATAAGAGCCATTAAAATAATATAAAAAGGTCTGTATTTATGAAAATATTCATCTGATTATATAATATTTATTACATATATTTAATGTATTACTGAATTAAACATTGAAATGTGATTACAAATGCTCTTAACTTTCGAATTCAAAAGATATCGATTAAATATAATATTATTCACTTATTACGTGTTACCGTGACAAGAAGTGATGATTAAATTGTTGTGTATTATATTTTTTTTAAGAAAACGGGGCAAAACGAATTTAATGTAACACAAGTTAGATATATATTATTTTGAGAACCTTTACCACCTCAAGATAAAACAAATGAATAAAAACAGAAAAATCATGTAATACAGTACACGGTTGGATGAAATGTCAGCATACATGTTCAACAAAACACCAAAAGAGTTAGATTCACCACGGACCAGCACTGTCCATAATTTATTTTCTCAAAAAATTAAAAATTAAAAAATCCAATTGTGCCCTTGATCCTTAACCCTCATAGTGGAAAGAAGTTATCCTCTTCTGTTTAAGGGGTTCTTTCCAGATTATTTTCAAACTCCAAAGGTTCTTCCTTCATTATACATAAGCTGTCATTAAGTTGAACCGGTGTGATATTTGCAGAAAATATTTCGATAATAAAGTCAACGTATACATAATAATACTGATAATATATGTGTAATTAATGTAACTAATTATCTCAATACTACAAATTTATATTTATGAATTTGTTGGGATGAGTTTTTGATTAACATTGGTTATGACCAAAAATAATAATGATTTAATTTAGGATTAATAAATATATTTTAGTATTAATTTTGTTCTAGTCTAGTCTAATTATTTAGTCAACCGAACGATTCACATAGAATCGTGAATTGGTCAATCAATCCAACGACTTACATATAACCATGAGTTGGACGACTGCTCGATTCTAGAACTGATCGATTGATCATATTATACACCCTTGTAATGTTTATTTACTTTTGATTTTAAGGTTGAACGAAGAAGACGAGGATGTAGTAGAAGGACAAAGGGTTAAGGTGCGAAGTCATGTCTTTCTCCAATTCTTTGAAGCTTGTCCCCTACCCTTGTTTTGAGGCCAAAACAATACACCTTAATAGTTACAATACATAGATGGGATGATGGGTATGGGCAAGTGAACACTATAAGAGCCAGAGGAATCTCTTTCATCAACATCACTAACCTCTATGGCCCACTTTCAGGATCAGGCCCTTCCTCCCTAACATTAAAATCTCACCTCGATGGGCTCTTACCCCCACCATGCAACCAGGCCCAA